CTTAAGGAGATGTTTAATTAAGCTTGGGCAAGAGATAATTGACGATAGCTATAATTATGACATCGAAAATCCAGCACAAACTCAAATTGAGCAAGCAATGACAAAATTGTTTAACTTAGCAGTAAAAAAGCAGGGTGAAAAGACATATATCAAGCTTGCAAGTTCGATCAAAGATGTAGTTGAAAAAATTAGCCTCCTGAAACAAAATCCAGAAGCGTTGGGTATTACCACAGGACTTCAGGATTTAAATAGCTTGCTAGGCGGTCTGCAAAAGTCAGATCTGTTAATCATAGCTGCAAGGCCTTCTATGGGTAAAACGGCACTGGCACTTAACATTGCTCTTAACGCTTGTAAAATTTTACAACAAAAACAACGCTACGTTGCGTTTTTTTCACTTGAAATGTCAGCAGAGCAGCTAACTGCGAGATTGGTTACCATTGATTCTGGTATCAGTTACTATAAAGCTCTGACAGGCAAAATTAGTGATTTTGAATTGCATGAATTTATTGATACTAGTACAAAATTGTCTGAATTGCCTTTTATAATAGATGATACTCCGGCACTATCGATCAGTGCTTTGCGTACCAGAATAAGATTGTTATATCAACTATATAATGTAGAGATTGTATTTATTGACTATCTTCAGCTCATCAGAGGAACAACGAGAAGAAGTAATGAAAACAGGGTGCAGGAAATATCAGAGGTAACACAAGGGTTAAAAGCAATTGCGAAAGAGTTGAATATCCCCATTGTTGCACTTTCACAGCTTTCTCGTTCTGTTGAACAGAGAGATGACAAAAAACCACAGCTTGCCGATTTGCGTGATTCTGGAAGTATAGAGCAAGATGCAGATATAGTTATGTTTTTATATAGAGAAGAATATTACGAATTGAGAAAACAACCGAGTGAAGGCAGCAATAAGCACAGAGAATGGCAAGAGAAAATGGAAAAGATTAGGAACGTTGCAGAACTGATTGTTGCAAAACAAAGGAATGGACCTATTGGAAATGTTAAACTATATTTTGACTCTAACAGGGGTATGTTCAAAGACTATACAGAGAGATATAATTTTAGTGATTAACAAGTAAGGTAAACCCCAATAAAGGAGTTTACCCTTGCATTCAAAAATTAACTAACAGAGAAAAGAATTGGATCATTAGATCCTGAGTAATAAACTTGTATTTTTGTTATTCTTGAAGGCACTTTAGCTTTATCACTTAACACTTTCTCAATAGACTCTACAAATTGTTCATTAGCCTTTTTAGGCTCAGCATTATTCTTATTATGTAAACATATTTTTTGTTCAGAGTTCGTATTATAAATATTATATAAGATACAACATGCCACCATGATAAGAGCTAGTGATGATAATACTATTACTGAATGAGGATTTACATATGCCCCTGCATACACTGATGGATTAAGAAGATTTTCCAGGCTAACTCCAGAATGAACTAAAGGAAAAGCTATATTTCCAAAGACAACAGCGGTGAGTAAAATAGGCACTGCTATCCTGTTCTTAAATATGGCGGTTAGCGAATCAGAAAGAAAATATCCTTTAATTTTGTCTTTTCCATCGATAATAGTGATCTTATCTACTGGTGCTTGAAGTGTATGCAATTCAAAATAGGAACGTTTACCGTTACTTTGATCTACTGTTATGTATTGTATAATCTCATTGTCTGGTAAATTGTTTTTTACCTCATTCAAGACTGGTTCAAGGTCTCTTTTTGTAATTTTATGTTCTTTCATTATAGTGCTTTGGATTAGTGTCCAGCATAAAGAAAGTGCGAAAAACGCTAGCATTGCACCACCAAGTATAGTCAAGGCATTCAATCCGTTGTTTACCATCATCAATTCAATGAATTTAGTAGATGGCTTAGTTACATATGCGACACATAACATTGTTACTAGCGCTGTGAAAGGTACAGTAACCTTTTTCTTCTCTAGTAGGTACTTGAATTTTTGCCAGAATCTATTTGTTGAGCTGCCTGCTGCATAATTCATGCGAGAATTTGGCTGTTCCCAAAGCTGCTCTTCTTCTCTGCCTTTTGTTTGAGAAGGATTAGGAGCAGGTGGTATCGGATTTTTTCTGTTTTCATTGGTAGATCGTGCAGTTGAGGTTATATTTTGTGATTGATGCCTATTGTGTTGAACAGTTGTGTGAGTAAGGTTTTCGCTCTCATCACCAGAGCTATTAGGACAGCTGCTAACAATAACAGTGCTATCAGATCCATTGCCATTTAAACTAGAGGTGCTAGATGGAGGGGTCGGTGATTGACCGTTGTTTGAATTTTGTCCTCTAGGTGGTGATGTTAGCATATCTACTC